TGGTCCTGGGTCCGTGTATGAAGGCTTGGTCCCAGCAGCATCCTCCATGGTTCCTGCTTCATATTCCTGCTTGAGTTCCTGCCCTGACTTTCTTCAATGAGGGTTGTGATCTGGAGTGTTAGTGGACTCCCACACTTTCTCCTCTCCATCGCCTCTGGTCAGGGTGTCTTTTCACAGCCTCAGGTAGGAAACTGGGACACTTGACAACTGACTCAAGGTTGATGCTAAAGCAGCTGAAAGCACAGCTCAGCTCCAACACTCAACAATACCACGTTGTGTTTGAAGAGGTTGAATCACACACAAGGAATCAAAAGGAAGCTTTTAGAAGGTGTGGCTATGTATTTGTGGGGTAGGCTGTGGCGACGGTCGGTCTCTTCTTTCAGACTCTTCAGGTTGTATATAAGTGTATATAGTTTTTATTGTTGCTCACAGAGTTTCACGGTGTTGCTTAGGCTGGCCTTGAACTCCTGGGCTCCTGTAATTATGCTATATCAGCTTCCTGAGATTATAAATTTCTGTATCACTGTACGGCCTCAGGTAAACTGTTTCAGTGGGTATACCCATCATAGTCTTGACTGCTTTGCTCATATTCTCGCTCCTCCCACTCTTTTTTTTTATTTATTAAGGATTTCTGCCTCCTCCCCGCAACCACTTCCCATTTCCCTCCCCCTCCCCTGATCAAGTCCCCCTCCCTCAATCTGCTCGAAGAGCAATCAGGGTTCCCTGACCTGTGGGAAGCCCAAGGACCACCCACCTCTATCCAGGTCTCATACTCTTCAACTGGACTTTGGGAGCTCAGTCCAGTGCTCCACTGCGGGGCTCTACCTCTGTTTCCATCAGTTGCTGGATGAAGGTTCTATGGTGACATTCAAGATAATTCATATGGTCTTGACCATAGGGCAAGGCCAGTTAGGGCACTCTCTCCTCTATTGCTTAGGGTCTTAGCTGGGGTCATCCTTGTAGATTCCTGGGAATTTCTCTAGTGCCAGGTTTCTTGCTAGTCCCATAATGGCTCCCTCAATTAAAATACCTCTTTCCTTGCTCTCATCTCTGCCCTTTCTCCATCTCGACTATCCTGTTCCTTCAAGTTCTCTTCCCCCTCCCCTTCTCCCTTCCTCTTCCCTTTTTCCCTCCCTACTCCCCCTACCCCCATGCTCCCAATTTTGTCTGGCAATTTTGTATCTTTCCCCTTTCCAGGTGGATCTATGTATGTTTTTCTTAGGGTTCACCTTGTTACTTATCTTCTTTAGGATTATGAACTATGGGCTCAATATCCTTTGCGTTACAGCTTTTATGAGTGAGTACATACCACCTTTGCCTTTCTGGGTCTGGGTTACCTCAGTCAGGATAGGATCTTCTAGTTCCATTCATTTGCATGAAAATTCAAGATGTCATTATCTTTTCAGCTCTGAGTACTCCTCTAATGTGTAAATGTGCCACATTTTCTTTACCCATTCTTCAGTTGAGAGGCATCTAGAGCTCACCAACTCCAGCCGGATGGGGAAGGAACCAGCATAGGCCCAAATTAGTTCCTCTGAATGTGGGTGACAGTTGTATGGCAGTGGCACCAGGATTTATCCTTACTGCTTGTACTGGCTTTTTGGGAACCTGTTCTCTTTGGATGGATACCTTGCTCAGCCTGGAAATGGTGGGGAGGGCCTTGGACCTTCCCCAAAGCAATGTGCCTTACCCTCTCTGAGGAGTGGTTGGGGGTGGGGTGGGAGGGTGTTTGGAGGGAATGGAAGTAGGAACTGGGATTGGTATGTAAAATGGGGAAAGATAGTTTGTTTTCCTTTTTTTAAAAAAAAATTTTAAAGTGAAGAAAAGAAGATGTACAGCCTCTTTAAAAAGATTTTATGGGATCTGGGACACCACAAGAACATGATCACAGAATCAATCATCTGGGACTCGTTGGGGTTTGGAGAAATCAGGGAGCCCATAGGGGTCTGACCTAGGTCTTCTGCATATATTATGGCTGAGTAGCTTGGTGTTCTTTTGGGACTCCTAACATTGGGAGCAGGGGCTGTCTCTGACTCTTGTCAGCTTTTGGGACCCCTTCCTCCTACTGGGTTGTCTCATCCAGCTTTAATATGAGAGGATGTGCCTACTCTTACCATAACTTGATATGCCATGTTTGGTTGCTATCCCCGTGTAGCCTGACTTTTTCTGAAGGGAAACAGAGAAGTGGATCTGGGAAGGAGGGAGAGAGGCTGGGGGGTGGAGGAGGGAAGGGGAAACAGATCAGTATGTAATATATGAGAGGAGAAAATTTTAAAAAGATTTTGCTTATTTGTTTGTTTTTTGAGACAAGGTTTCTCTATGTAACAGCTATCCTGAAACTTGCTTTGTAGACCAGGCTGGCCTTGAACTTGGAGAAATCCACCTGCTTCTCCCTCCTGAATGCTGGGATAAAGGCATGCTCCCCCACCCCGCCAATTTTTATTTTTTATTATTATTTGATTTTTTTGTTTTGGGATTTTTTTGTTGTTGTCTTATTTTGCTTTTTTTTTTTGAGACAGGCTTTCTCTGTGTAGCTTCGGAATCTGTCCTGGAACTTGCTCTGTAGACCAGGCTGGCCTTGAACTCACAGAGATCTGTCTGCCTCCCCAGTGCTGGGATTAAAGATGTGCGCCACTATGGCCTGGCTATTTTTTATTATTTGTATGTGTGTGTTCATGAGTGTAGATTTGGGCACGTAAGTCCAGTGCTTGAGGAAGTCAGAAGAAGCCTAAGATCCCCTGGAGTTACACAGGGCAAAGTGGATGCTGAGACTAGAACTCACGTCTTCTATAAGAACAATAGGTCGTCTTAAGCACTGAGCCATCTCCAGCTCACCCGCACCCCTTTTTTGAGATGGGGTCCTATGTAGACCAAGCTGTTCAAATTTGCTTTGTAACTGAGGATGGCCTTAAACTTCCCATCCTCCTGCCGTCCCCTTCTGAGAGCTGAGATCACAGGTGTGAGCCCTCACACCCGGTTCAGGAGGAACCTGGGGCTTCATGTGCTAGGACCCATCAGCTGAGCTATAGCCCCAGCGCTGTGCCAATGTCAATCATATCTCAGGGAAAGGGCTAGAAAAAGCAGCTGAAATGTGTTGTTTATGTGTTGCTTTGCTTGTTTTGGTGAAACTAGACAGGGCTTCTGGGCACACTCTGGACACGCAACGTTGAGATGGTTGGTGGCCTGTGTCGGTGAAGTCCTGCGGCTGACCAGAGCTCCATCCTTTCTGAGGTTCCCCGTGAGGCAGCAGCAGGTGAAGTCCTGCGGCTGACTAGAGCTCCATCCTTTCTGAGGTTCCCCGTGAGGCAGCAGTAGTCTTCTTCCCACCTGACCTAGCTCCAGACTCAGCCGGGTTGCTCTAATGCATTCTCTGGCCCTGTTCCACGCTCTCCGGCTCCACTTCCTGGGCCAGTGCTCCTGGCTGCTCTTGTGTGGTGCCGCCCACGCTCTGGCACTCCAGTCTGTGGCTGTCCTTTCAGACCCGTCCACTCCCTGGCATCCTACTGTGAGCTCAGTCCATCTGTGCTTCAAGGCGCTGTTGTGCGTACCAAACGCTCGGCTCTCATGGCCAAACTGCATAGAGTCTTTCTCCCTGTATGAACTATTCATTTGCACTCAGGAAGTCGAACCCAGGTCACCCTGGAGCCCTTCCCCCTTGTTTAGAGTTTGCAGCCAACATGTCGCATTTGCCAAGTGTCTCCAAAATGGCTCCCGCCTGCTCTCGTTTTCAGACCATTAGAACAGTCTCCTGCCCTCTGTCTCACATGATTCCATGCAGACCTGTGGTCACACTTTTGCAAGAGCAGTCTGTGCCTGCTAGAGTCTGAGCTCCGTCACTGCGCTGCGGGCCTTGGATAACCTGACCCCACACTGTCTCCGGTGCTGTCACCTCTGCCCATTCCCTAGTGCCCTCCCATCCTCACCTGCACTCCAGGGGGGCAAACCTGCCTGCCTTTCCCTTAGAGCAGAAACACCCAAGGTGAACGAGGCAAGGTGCGCTTTACCCCTCTCAGTTTTGGTTCCCTGGATCCAACCACTGTTTGCGACACATAGTGTAGCAAAGTCCACACTGAACTGTTTTCATCATTTGAAAAACGCCAAATTTCATAACCCTTCCCCTACCACCTCCTCTCTCCAAATTCAAGCAGCTGGTTTGTCCTTTAAAAAAAAGAAGAAGAAGAAGAAGAAGCTGGGTGTGGTGGCACACTTCTTTAGTCGCAGCACTCCTGAGGCAGAGGCGGGTGGATTTCTGTGAGTTCCAGGCCAGCTAGGGTTATATAGTGAGACCCTGTCCCAACATAAAAGGAGAGGGCAAAGCTGGAGAGACGGCTCAGCTGTTAAAGGCACTGGCTGCGTTTCCAGAGGACCAGGCTTTGATTCCCATCATGCATATGGTAGTTCACAACTGCCTGTAACTCCGGATTCAGGGACATGGTACACTTACATACACACAGGCAAAGCACCCATGTACATTTAAAAAAATAAGAATTTATTTTTTATTTATTGTGTATGTATACGAAGGTGTTTCAGTTATCTAGAAGGGGTTTCTGGTCCTCAGGAGCTAGAGTTTTGCCTGTGGGTGCTGGGAACCAAACTCTGGCCCTCTACAAGAGCAGCAAGTGCTCTTAACTACTGAGCCATCTCTGCTGCTTGCGCGCGTGTGTGCGTGCGTGTGTGCGTGCGTGGATGTGTGTGTGTTTTACCTGTCAGCTTCTGGCATCGAGACATTTTCCTTTGCAATGGAGCATTAATTATATATAGAAGCTATGTGTCTAAAGGGGAGAGAGAGCAGGGATGAATGGGTTGCAGATCCTAACTCTGGACCTTGCTAAACCAAATTTGGTAATGTTGATGCAACGCTCTCAACAGAAAAGCCCCCAGTGTCATCATGGAAAATGTTCGCGCTGCTTTCCTGGATAGGTGAATGATGAAGAGGGTTGCTCCCTGGAGCTGGTGGCTGGAAAGAGACAATAAACTCCTCTCTTTCTCTCTTCAAACAGGATCAGTTTGACAACTTAGAAAAACATACACAGTGGGGAATCGACATTCTTGAAAAGTACATCAAGTTTGTCAAGGAGAGGACTGACATTGAGCTCAGCTATGCCAAGCAGCTCAGGTAAGGTTGCGGCTGTGGCCCTGCAAATACAAGAAAGAAAGGCTCATTTCTCTTTTTTATTAAATTTTTTTATTACATTTATTTATTTGTAGGGCAGGGGAATGTATGTGCCAAGCACTTGTGTGGCAGTCAGAGCACAAGGAATTGGTTTTCTCTCCTTCTGTAGTGTGGGTCCCGGGGATTGAACTCAGATCATTAGGCTTGGTGGCAAGCCCTTTTACTCCTCCTCCCTAACATATGCTGCTTGCTAGCCAGATGCAAGCTTGATTTCTATTCTCATTTCACAGTGCGTGTGTGTAACCTTTTCTTCTAAAGTAATGTGTCACTGGAAATAATTGTTTTTTAGTATAGAAATTGATTTTTCATAAGATAGTAAAAGTAAAGAATGAAGCTTGTCCTTGAGTTTGTGGCAAGGTCTCTGTAGCCCAGGCTAGCCTTGCGTTCGCTGTATAGTGGAGGCTGGCCTGAGCTCTTGCTCCTCCTGTATCCACCTCCTGAGAGCTGGGATTGCAGGTGTGTGCCAGCAATCCTGTTCCGTTGTGTTTTCTTTTGCTCTGCGTTGTTCTGGTTTGTTTCGCAATGCTTCCCATTCAAGTCGGGGTCTTGGGCCTCTAGGTAAACCCCCACTTTTACCCTATCCCTCACCTGTCACCCTGTCCTCTGCACCTGACCCCTAGGCCTGCCTGGGTCTATCACTAAACTTCATATTGGAATATACACTTGCACTGAGAAGCACAGGATCCCACATGAAAGGCTCCTGACTAGCCCTGACTTGCCATCACTGGCGTGGATCAGTAGCACCTGCCTTGAGTTTCCTGTAGATGTGCACATTGGCTCTGATCCTTGAAAAATCAGACTTCGCAGGTGGTGGCGGCGCACGCCTTTAATCCCTACACTCGAGGCAGAGGCAGGCGGATCTCTGTGATTTCGGGGCCAGCCTGGTCTACAGAGTGAGTTCCAGGTCAGCCAGAGCTACACAGAGTAACCCTGCCCCCCAAACAAACAAACACAAAAACTCTGACTTCCTTTGCCTCGCACTGGCTGGGAGGTTTGCTGCCCTGCTGTCATTTGCTTGTGTTTCCCTGCTCCCTATTTTCCTGAGAGGGCTTCCACTCTCTTGCCACTCAGCAGCTGGTTGTTTCCGCTCATGCTGGGCTCCTTTTTTGCTATTAAATTTTAATTACATTATTTGTTTATTGTGTGTGTATGGAGAAGGTGGACATACCACTGCCAGCATCCTGTGAGGTCAGAGGACAACTTTGTGTTCTCTCCACCACGTGGGCTTCTGGGGTTGAACTCAAGCCACAGACTTGGCACCAATGTCTTGGCCTGCTGAGCCCCCTCCCCAGCCCTCACAGGCCACTGGTGCACGTCGGGACTGTTTTCTTCGTTAGTGCAGGATTGGACTGGGGCTCACAGAGTGTACCTCTGCCTGGTTTTAGTGGACATTCTCATTGTTTCACTCTCCAGCAGGTTTGCGGGGTCCCAGGGAGCAGATCTGGCAAGAACTGTGATGGGGGTTTTAGGGTTGAAACCTAGGCCCGGGCATCTCCCACAAGCTAGTCTCAGTCGCTTGTCCCAACACACCCATTAGAGTCGAGTGGGCCTGAAAGGCAGAAAAAGGATCTTTACTCAGTGTGGCCACACTGGGGAGAGGAGCAGAGAGATCCAGTGACCTCCAGTGCGACTATGGGTCCTGGCGGCCCAGCGTTTAAATGGAAAGCAGGAGTGCACAGGGTGAGCAGTCCTGACCCATGACTGGTCCATTCGTGTTGATGTCCTACGAGGTGGTCTGCTAAATTGTCAGAAGTTTGTGACATCTCAGTACCAGTCTTCAACCTATTCGTGAATGTGGTGTATAAGTGTGTGCATCTAGGAGTGTGTATGTGTGAATGTGTATAAAAGTGTGTGTATATAGGAGTGCATGCATGAAAGTGTGTGCAGGAGTGTGTGTTTGTGTGTATGAATGTGTGTAAGGAGTGTGTGTTTGTGTGTTCATGTGCAGGACTCCGTGTGTGTGTGCGTGCGCGCATGCGTGTGTATGCATGCATGAGTGTGTGTACACGTGTATAGGAATATGCATGCCACAGCACAAATGTAGAGGTCAGAGACAACTCTGTGGAGCCAGTTCTCCTCCCTTCCATTCTTACTTGCATGTTCCACCAGGCTTATGCAGCAAACTTCTTTATCCACTGAACCATCTTGCTGACCCGGATCAACCCAACTTTAGCCTTTCTCTTGCTCCAGAATGAAATTCCTTGGGAAATTTTAGTTGGAGGTCACTGTTAGAAAGGAATAATAGCACAAATTATCCCCTCTCCTTCTGGGGAGCTGTGAGCGTTCCTAAACCTTTCGATTTATCTGGGAAATTTGTTTGGGATATAAAATATTTTCAAGTTGTCACTAAAGGGCTGGGGACGTGCCTGGTACAGGGCTTGCCTAGCACACACGGAGCTCTGGGTTCCATCCCCAGCATGATGTGAACTGGGTATGGTGGTGCAGACACTCGACAGACCAGGAGTTCAAGGTCGTCCTCAGCTGTTCCAATCTAGGATGCCACAAGGCTATCATTTTTGCTTAAATAAGCATCTCAGTGCTGGCTGTGGAAAACTCCTGGCATGACACATTCTGTTTACACTGAGAAGCTGGAATGCAGAAACCAAGAAAGCATGTTTTCTACTGGCTGGACCCAGGTCAGTTTCTAGAACCCCACAAAGGTCTGGGTCTTACTAGCAAATGACTGCTTCACGTTGGTTAGTCCTGATAGGTTGTCATTCGTGTGAAAATGGGTTACACTGCCTGGCTGAGCACTTGAGAGGCAGAAGCAGGTGGATCTCTGTGAGTTCGAGTCTAGTGGAAGGAGATAACTGACTCCGTGTCTCCTGGGAGGGAGGGAGGAAAAGAGAGAGAGAATGTGTACACCACAGCCTAGTCATGGGTCTTCCCTCAGGGACTTGCTCAGTTTCATGTCTTCATTTCTCTTTGGTTTCTTCCTGGTGCCTCAGTCCTTTTCACCATGTGCTGTGGAGGTCTGTCTGCAGCTTTCGTGGACATGGAAATGGCCCTTTGTCCTCCTTGGAAGCATCGGAAGCATCTTCCTTCCCTGGAGACCAAATGCCAGTCTATTGGGTTCCTCCCACGTCACTGCTTTTTATCCTTGCTCTTAAAGCTGCTGTGTGCAGCATCCAGTTCCTGTTTCTTTCGCCCCAGTCTGTGCTCTCTCCTTGACCCCCAACTGTATTAGGTAGGCTTTAGCACCTATAGGTGTAGTAATCACTCCCTCCCAACCGTGTCTCTCCAAGCTGTTTCCATCTCTCCCAGACTCCGGAAGTGGCTTACGGAAGCTCCCTGAGATTTCTGATCAATGCCTGCATCCACACATGTCTGAAAGCACTGGCTCAAGTTCCACCCATCCTCCTCTCCTGTGACTGTGTGCCTCCCCCCAACCCCCGCCCCGGCTTAGGGCAGATGTTCCAGAGTCCTATTAGTGCTTCTCACCTCCCTCACCAAGCCATCAGGACAGACTGACCATCTATTCTAGTCCCCATTCTGACACAGGATCTGGACCCTGCTTGTTGGCACCATGCTACCCCTGGGTCACCATTGTCTCTTGCCTGAATCATTACCCATTGAGTCGCCTTGCTGTTCCTTGTCTGCTGGCTTTCTACAAAGCAGTCACATTAGTTCCTCAGTAATTCCCCATTTCTTTCTGACTAAGTCTCCAAAGTTCTTCCGACAAATGCCTAAAAGCCTTGCGTGCCTGGGCTCTCCTCTGGCCATGCTGTTTTCCTTTTTAAACATGGTCGGTGCCTGCATGGCCTTGGTGGGAAAGGCTGGGGCAAGTCAGAGCACCTTCCTTGTGGAAAACTTGACCTTTTCTGAGTCAGTCCGTGCAGTGTGACCATGCGTCCAAGCTCTGCCTGGTTGTTGGGCATGCTGTCCAGTTATGTTCCTGTTTGGGCGCTGTGGTTACCTGGCTCCTTTCTTGTGGAAAGTTGCTCTTCCCGTTTCGCTCGGCTCTGCCGGCTCCATCCCCTCTATTGCTGTGCAGGTTTGTGCTTCAGGTTTGTCATTAGCGTGAAATACTCCGGAGAGGGGGCGAGTTGTTTACTTTTCTGGTGTGCTTTTCATTTTCCTCCTCTTTCCTCCTTCCCTTCTCCTTCCTTCAGTGCCTGACCAATCTTTTCCCGGTGGGTCTGCTTGACTTGGAGAGTTTGGTGAAGTGGCCGAGCTCATCTTCTAGGCCCTAGTGCTGGGGAGGCAGTCCTGTGTTTGCTTCACAGAATTTGATTTGGGGCACATCATTCTCTGGGATTCATCATCTTCAACTGTAAAACCTGAATAGTGAGAAGTTCTGCCTTCTGAAGGGGTTGAGTGACTTTTCTCGTCGCTGTGACCAATAGGAAGGAAGGGTTTGTTTGTGCTCACAGTTTAGGGGGACACAGTCCGTCATGGTGATGAAGCTTGGGGCAGCTGGTTATGGTGTGGCTGCAGTCAGGAAGCAAAGAGGTGAATGCTGGTGCCAGAGTCCCTTTTCCTTCAGTACGGGCCCCCAGCCCATGGCATGGTGCTGCCCACATGCGGAGTGCCTCTTCCCTCCTCCGTTAAACCCCCCTGGAAGTGCCCTCCCAGACGCACTCAGGGGTGTACTTACTCCGTGGGGACTCTACCTCAGGTCATGCTGACCATGAGGATTACCTGTCACAAGGACTGAAGGAGATGAGGTTGAGCGTCTTTCAACTGACTCCCGGCACACCCATCTTATGCTGATGGCCCTGGAAATGACTGCCCCTTGGGTGTTTTTATTCAGATGCTGAAGCTGAAGGTTTGCTGTGCCCGGAGGCTGGGCACAGCTCTCTGAGAGATGGCTGGGGAAGGGGTCCGACCTAGGGATTCTGAGTTATTGTCTGTCTGAAACTCCTTGGCTGTGGACTGAGTCGTTCAGGAGAAGTGGCCTTGCTCCTGTGGAATCCCTAGGTTTATGAGGCTTCTGCATGCCTGCAGCTTGAGGCCTGAGGAGTGGAGACCAGAGGCGAGCCCACAGATGGAAAGGGACAGCATGGGTATTGTCAGGGCAGCTCCCCTGTCCCTAAGTGTGTCCTCCCTGTTTGAACTGACTCAGAGCTGTGGCCTTACTTCCCTTCTTGTGGTCAGGTGGGTGGCATCAGCACCTGTTCTAAGCTGCCTCCAAATCATGCATCTCTGTTCTCAGGTGCCGCTTTCCAGAGGTGTGGACTGAGGGTAGGCATCTTACTGCAGCTGTTCATTGTCTAATAATGCAAACCTTCCCCTTTCCCCCTGTCTGTCTGTCTCTCTCTCTGTCTCTCTGCAATCTCTGTACCACTGAACTACATCCTGGTTATGTGTGTGTGTGTGTTTGTTTCAAGACAGGATTTCTCTGTGTAGCTTTGGAGCCTGTCCTGAAACTCTCTCTGTAGACCAAGCTGGCCTCGAACTCACAGAGATCTGTCTGTCTCTGCCTCCTGAGTACTGAGATTACAGGTATCCACCACTTGGCCATTTTATATTTTATATTTGAGACATAAAAGCCCTGGTTAACTTTGAACTGACTCCACAGTCCAGTCAGGCCTTGAATTTAGGATCCACTTGCCTAGACTTCCTGAGTAGCTGGGATTACTAGTTAGTGCCTCCAGCCAGGGTCCTGGTCACCTTCTATGCAGTCTTTTTCCTTTGCTGGGAAAGCACCCTTCTCCTGCCACCATCATCCAGATATCTTGTGGTTCAGAGAAATAAAAGGAAGAACAGCCCCAAACATTCCTGGGCTCCACCCTGGCCGTCCTGGTTCAGAGCACCTGGAAAGGGGCCCAAAGATCGGCTTTGAAAGCCTCCCGTGGTTCCTAGCATTGGCTGGGCCTCAGCCAGCAGCCTCATGAACTCCTAGTCTCCTCTTCCCTTCTCGTTAGTCTACCCAAAAAGCTGGTTTCATACAGGATGCACACTCTGTTCCTCAGCGGATCCCACCAATGTGAAAGTGATGTTTTAAGGGCTTCCCTGCATGCTTGTTTTTGTTTAAAAAACAAAACAAACAAAAAAAGTTTAATACAAGGCCAGGAAGCCTGTCCCTAGACAAGGGGTTGGGAAGGGTTTATAGTGAAAAGAACCTGGGACTTGGAGCTTTGGAGCTGCCTCAGTGGGTAAGAATGCATATTAGTCAAGCATGAGGTTGTGAGTTCAAATCCCCAGAACCCACAAAAATAGCTGGGCATGGCCTTATATGCCTATAGTTTCAGAGCTGCAAGGCGTGGAGACTTTACCGTCACTGAGTTGCTGACTGCCAGCTTGGTTCCAGCTTCTGTCTCAGGGAAACAAGGCAGAGAGAGGGAGCTCAGGACCCTGGCTGCTGTGTGTGTGTGTGGATGCTTGGATGCGAATATACCACACATCACACACGCTCAGACTTTTGCAAAAAAGTTGGGGGCGGGCATGGTGGCACATGCTTTTAATCCCAGCACGCAGAAGGCAAAGGCAGGTGGATCTCTGTGAGTTCGAGGCCAGCTTGGTCTGCATAAAGTGTTCCAGAACAGCCAGGGCTACATAGGGTCTCAACAGACTATCACTCATAACAGATCTTTCTCCTTACTTAGGAACTGATGGTAAACGGGGAGTCTCACACCTGTGGGTGCACACGATGGCACACATTCTTAGTTCTAGCAGTCTGGAGGCAGAAGCAGGCAAATCTGTGAGTCTGAGGCCCTCCTGGCTATGTATTGAATCCTGGGGAAAAGAGTACCCTTTTTAGTGGGCTTGATGGCCCGGGCTGTCATCCCAGTACTCAGGAGCCTGAAACAGGAGAATCATCACAAATTCAAGGTCAGCCTGGACTACAGAACTTGTTTGTTTAAATTTTTATTTGTTTGTTTATTGGGGGGGGGGGCAGCACAGTGCACATGTGGAGGTCAGAGGTCAACCTGTGAGAATCAGTTCTCTCCTTCCACAGGGCGGGTGCTGGGTACCAAACTCATGTCATCAGACCTGGTGGCCAGTGAGCCCTTTTGCTGGTCCTTAGGAGCAGCCCTTACCACATGTAGTAGGTTCAGCTTCCCTCAGTTCCATGTAGCATGGAAATTATTTTTGTGGCTGTGCAGGTCTGGAAGCTAAAAAGAGAATGTGGATTTAAAGAAGTGACTTTTTTTTAACTTCACAGTTTTGGGAATTTTTATGTGAGGTGTTTTCAGTTTGTAAGTTATGGCTAACAAAGGAACAGTTACTATTTCAAACTGCACTAAAAATACCTGGAGGGTAGCCATGGGACTCTTCACGGCACCCAGCTCCCACACACCAAAGAACCCATGTTCACCCTGACCACTCCGATTGTCCCCTCCGAGCTGGCTCTGCAGTGACCTTGTCCCCTCCAGCCTGGCTCTGCAGTGGCTTTGTCCCCTCCAGCCTGGCTCTGCAGTGACCTTGTCCCCTCCAGCCTGGCTCTGCAGTGGCTTTGTCCCCTCCGAGCTGGCTCTGCAGTGACCTTGTCCCCTCCAGCCTGGCTCTGCAGTGACCTTGTCCCCTCCGAGCTGGCTCTGCAGTGACCTTGTCCCCTCCAGCCTAGCTCTGCAGTGACCTTGTCCCCTCCAGCCTGGCTCTGCAGTGACCTTGTCCCCTCCAGCCTAGCTCTGCAGTGGCTTTGTCCCCTCCAGCCTGGCTCTGCAGTGACCTTGTCCCCTCCAGCCTGGCTCTGCAGTAGCTTTGTCCCCTCCAGCTGGCTCTGCAGTAGCTTTGTCCCCTCCAGCCTAGCTCTGCAGTGGCTTTGTCCCCTCCAGCCTGGCTCTGCAGTGGCTTTGTCCCCTCCAGCCTGGCTCTGCAGTGGCTTTGTCCCCTCCAGCCTAGCTCTGCAGTGGCTTTGTCCCCTCCAGCCTGGCTCTGCAGTGGCTTTGTCCCCTCCAGCCTGGCTCTGCAGTGGCTTTGTCCCCCAGCTGACTCTTCAGTGACTTAGTCTTACTGCATGCATCTGAGAGGATCTCTCCTTATGAAGTTCTTCTCCTCCCCTCTCTCCCTCCAATACGCACCCTTACAGAAAATCTGTGTGTATTAATCTGCTACATACTCACATGTCTATAGAAGAACAGTCTATGTGTGTAGGTGTATGTACAAATCACAGAGGTGAGTCTCCTGTCATCTGTTGGACTGGCAGTTTTTAAATATTTTTTATTATCGTGTATGATGTGTGTGTGAGGGGGTGTTGCCGTGGCACACGGAGGTCAGAGGGCAGCTCTGTGGAGTCGGTTCTCTTCCACCATGGGATCCTGGGGATCAAACTCAGGCCATTAGCCTTGGTGCCCAGCTGCCTTTACCCCTGAGCCATTTTGCTGGCCCCACAAATTTTTGTTGTTGTTGTTTTGTTTTTTGAAACAGGGTTTCTCTGTAGCTTTGGGGCCTGTCCTGGAATTCATTTTGTAGACCAGGCTAGCCTCAAACTCACAGAAATCTTCCTGTCTCTGCCTCCTGAGTGCTGGAATTAAAGCCGTGCGCCACCACCGCCTGGCCACAAATGGATTTTAATTGCGTAACTTTTGGAATTTTTAATAAACTAGGAAAGCACACAGGTCTTCTTTCATTCCTGACTTCTCTGTGTGTTTCCTAAGAAGGTGACAAATTTGTATTTTTGTCTTAGGAATCTTTCAAAGAAGTACCAGCCCAAGAAGAACTCGAAGGAAGAAGAAGAATACAAGTATGTCCGCTGCTGGTGGATGTGTGGTGAGATGTGTGTGCTTGGTGCTGGTTGTGGGGGAGGGGCAGGAAGTGCGTGCTCACGAAGTCCCAGCCCACCTTCCTGTCTGTGCCATTTTTCAACTTTCCGGCAACAGTGAGAACACTTCCTTTACCTCCCTGGCCCTGAGCCACTCGACCCACTCCAGACCGGTTCCACTGAAGTAAACAGAGAGAGTTTCAGGAGGCTCTGCAAGCATGGACAGGCAGCCTGGGGTATAAGCCTCCGAGGAGGGGCTCAACCTTCTTAATCCTGCGACCCTTCAGTACAGTTCCAAATGTTGTGGTGACCCCAGCCATAAAATTATTTTCATTGCTACTTCATCACTGGGATTTTGCTACCGGTGTGAATCATAACATAAACATCTGGTGTGCAGTTACTGTGAAAGGGGTCGTGACCCACAGGTTGAGAACCATTGTCCTAGCGTCGGCAATTCTGTCCCGTAGAGTCTGAAGCCTTCATGTTCACCCACTGTGCCTGTCTCAGTCAGCAGTGGTAGGTCATTGTACGTGGTGGAAACAGCGCCTGTGATGTATAGGTCCAGGGGCCTGGTGTGTTTAGTGAACACGGGAGGGTGGGTTTAGGACCATCTCTGGACTCGGAACGAACAGAACCAGATACTGTGCTGCACAGAACACCTGGGGCCGTGTTTGTTATAATTAATTCCGAGCCGTTGTGTAATAAACTGGCAAGCTCCCACGGGAGGCAGGTGCGGAGCAGCCGGATTTTAATTAATCTTTCCTTGTGGACAGTGTGTGAGGAGGGAGGTGGGCTCCTCTGAGGAGAGCCGGTGTGCTCTCTCTCCAGGTACACGGCATGCAAGGCGTTTCTTTCCACCCTGAATGAGATGAACGACTATGCCGGGCAGCATGAGGTCATCTCCGAGAACATGACATCACAGATCACGGTGGACCTGATGCGCTACGTGCAGGAGCTGAAGCAGGAGAGGAAATCGGTAATGTATATTGGGGTGTCTGTACTGCTCGTGCAAGGGCAGAAAGTTCTCTGCAAATGTAGTAGCCACATGGGCTACACAATGAGTTCCGTGTCTGCAAGACTGCATAGTAAGACCCTGTCTTAAACAAAAACGGGGGTTGGGGGCAGATGTGTACCGCAGGCCTCAATCTCAGCACGTGAGCAGTAGAGGAGGCAGGTGGACCTCTGTGAATTCAAGACCAGCCTAGTCTATATAATGAGTTCTAGACCAGCCAGGGTGACATAATAATACCCTATCTAGAAGAAAAAAAAACCCAAACAAACAAAAAACAGGGGCTGGAGAGAGGGTTCGTTGGTTAAGAGCACTAACTGCTCTTGCAGAGGACCCAGGTTCAGTTCCCAGCACCCGCATGGTGGCTCAGAGTCATCTGTAAATCCAGTTCTAAGAGGTCTTCTGACCTCCTTGGGCACAAAGCACAAATGTGGTCCACTTGCGCACATTCAGGCAAAATGCTCATACACATAAAATATATATAATAAAATCCGAATCAGGTGTGATGGTGTGCGTGGAAGGCAGAAGTTAGCAGGTTGGAAATTCAAGGCCAACGTGTGTGTGTGTGTGTGTGTATTATGTGAGTATACTAATACATGTCATGATGTATGTTTAGAGGTCAGAAGACAGCTTGGAGGAGTTGATTCCTTTATTTGCTGAGCTTCTTACCTGAGCCTGTAGCTGGTGTCCCGTCAGTGGAAGCTCACAGGGCCCACTTGTTAGGCCTCTCGTCGCATCCACTTAGCTGGCCCGCATGTCCACAACTCCAAGATCGAGGAACCAGCCGTGTGTTGGAGTCCTAAGCTTTACAACATTCTCTACTGAACCAGTCATCAAGAAAGGCATTTTGCTTGTTTGTGTTTTTTAAGATAGGGTTTCTTTGTATCTCTCTGGTTGTACTGGAAAATCACTCTGTAGACCAAGCTGGCCTCGAACTCAGACATCTGCCCGCCTCTGCCTCCTGAGTGCTGGGATTAAAGGCATTGTATTTTGGGAAACAGCTGGGAAGCAGTGGACAGAACTGAGCAGTATAAAGATAAAATAAATACATGGGCTCTGGCGGCGGCCTGGCCTGTTGCCCTGCTTGTGAACTCGCTTGACCTTTGCAAAGCTTTCTGTCTTTATCCTGTTTAGGGCTCTGCTGTGCTCTTGCCACTGGCCCTCTGCCCACAGTTTAGCACTGTAGCAGGCTCCCCAAACTGAAACTGCTTTTCCCTCCTTAGCAGGTGTCCGTTCTGTCAGGGGGCTGAGTCAGAAAATGGGAAGTGCCGCAAGCAGCACCCCTCCCCCATCCCTCTCCTCCAGCTGTGTAGTTCCTGGCTGGCCACTCTGTGCTCTGACCTCAGGGTCTTTGTGCAGGGTTTTCTCCCTCAGAAAGCCTTTGCCACACACCTCAGGGCCTGTTTCTCCCGAATGAAAGTTTCCTTCTCCAAGCAGACTTTCCCATCCGCCTCACTTCAATTACCAGGTTCCTCTGGCCTCTCCCACTTCACCTTCCCTTGCTTTGCAATGTTTTGTTTATGTTTTTTGCTTTTTGAGTCAGCAGGGTTTCTGCCTGTAACCACGCTAGCTGTCTGGAACTCACTATATATAGACCAGATGGCCTCACAGATAACTGCCTCCTCGGCTTCTGAGTGCTGGAATTAAAGGTATGGGCCACCATGTCCACAGCTTTGGCACGTTTTTTAAAGAGAGAGACAGAGTCGGAGACAGTTGGTTTGTATGCATACCACATGTGTGCAGAGGCCCCCTGAAGCCAGAGGAAGGAATCTGATCCACTAGAAACTGGAGCTAACAGGCTGTTGTGAGCTGAGCCACCTGACATGGGTGCTGGGAACTGAACTCAGGCCTCTGTGAGAGCATCCAGCACTCAAATCATGTCCCTTAAAAAGTTTTTTTTGTTTTGTTTTGTTTAAGATTTATTTAAGAAGGTGTTGTGGCACACACCTTTAATCCAGAATTTGGGAGTTAGAGGCTGGTGATCTCTCAAGTTTGAGGCCAGCCTGGTCTACAGAGCAAGTTCCAGGATAGCCAGGACTATACAGAAAAACCCTGTTTCAAAACAACAACAACAACAAAAACAGACTTTTTTTATTTTATGTGTATGAGTGTTTTGCCTGCCTATGTTTATGTACCTGGTCCCCAAAGTGGTCTGAAGAGGGTACGGGATCCCCTGGAACAGAAGTCACAGACTGAGCTACCACGTGGGTGCTGGGAACTGAACCTATCTCCTCTGCAAGAGCAGCCAGTGCTGTCACCCACTGAAGCCTCCTTTTGTTTTTAAGGAGTGTCCCCAGTCCCTAGTCCAGGCCTGGGAGTCATACGGTCTGTCAGGAGGACCTGCAAACACAACTCTATTTGTTGAAGCCGACTGCAGTTAAAGTAGACTGACATTTAAGTACATTGCGAAATCTCAAGAAATACTAGAAAGAGTGTCTGTCAGCAAATACATATTTGTGGTATTTTCATATGTGGTGTTGTGATGTCTTCTTTCCTATAGCTTAGCCACCATTCTTCTGAAGGAATGCATAACTCCATGTGGTCACACAGGCCCTTAATCCCAGCATGGGGGGGGGGAGTTGAGGCAGGAGGATTACAAATTGGAGGATGAAACTGAATACTTAGCAAGATACTGCCTCAAAAAGTGTGTGTGTGTGTGTGTGTATGAGAGAGAGAGAGAGAGAGAGAGAGAGAGAGAGAGAGAGAGAGACAGCGAGAGCCCAAGACGGATAAGGCTGAGGTGGATAAGACCTCAGCCCTCAGTCCTGATGTTTGGTCTTCAAGACTCACATTGTGGAAGAAGAGACCGGACTCCTACATGTTGTCCTCTGACCTCCACACACAGGATGTGCACACACACATGGATACAAAATAAATTTAAAAAATAGAATAAAAAAGGCAGTGCCATGGAACTTGCTTGGGAGAGAAAGGAAAGAAGATCATGGACTCAAGATTTTCCTTGGCTGCACAGTGAGTTTGTGGCCAGCTTGGGCTGCAAGAGATTCTGACTCAAAAACAGCGAGGTGTGGTGGTGCACACGTTAGTCCCAGCACTTGGGAGCCAGAGGCAGACCAGTCTCTGTGAGTTTGAGGCCAGCCTGGTCTGCATAGCAAGTTTCAAGGCAGCCAGGGCTACATAGTGAGATCAAAAGGTTGGAAGGGTTACATCCGGTTTGTTGGTATACTGATGGTTTGGGAGGTTGATTAGCCCTGCACTCACTTTTAGAGCAGTAACTGACATTGGCTGTGACTTCAGGTTAACCCTGAAGGTCTGTGATGTTATCCGATGCTCAGGAGCCTGGAGCATAGGGAGGCGGTGTGGGTCTGTGGGGTCACACAAGGTCCAGCTGGGGGTGACACCCAGGCAGCCTGGACCTCAGGGCTAAGCGTGGCTGCCCGCATGCTTTGACTTCATTAGTGGTTTTCCTAGCTTACCCACAAGGCCATGGATTGCACGGTGCAGCCCCTGCCTGCAGACCTTCTTCTCCAGGTCCCCGAGTTTCCTTAGTGGTACAGGTCAGAAGATATTATTCCCTGGTTTCTGCTATGATCAGAACAAGGCCCCACAGACACTTCAGTCTGTCTTAGAAGCTGGATGGCACTGGTTTGCAGGGCTCTGCTGGTGGGAAGACAGCTTCCTGAAGTCTATTCTCTCCTTCCACTTTATGTAGATACAGGGATTGAAGGAGGGCACCAGATGTGTGCAGCAGGCGTCTTTAACATGCTGGCTGAGCCGTTTCAGTGCACCGTAGTTTACACCCTCAATTCTCCTAGTTGTTTTCTGTGTGTCCTCTGGAAAACAGATTGCTTTAATAATCAGATCTTTCTGTTCTAGCCATTCATTCATAAATGAATTTATAGCTTCTACTCTGAGGTGTGTGTCCGGTCCAGTTTGTTTATTGCTTAAGTACTTTTTATTGTTTTGTTGATTTGTAGCTTACTGGTTCTGACTGGTTTAGATTAGTTAAACTATTCTATATTCAGCTCTTTTTAACCCCACTGCTCCTGGGTTAGCGGGCTTGTCCCTGTCCACCTGGGTTAGCGGGCTTGTCCCACTGCTCCTGGGTTAGCGGGCTTGTCCCACTGCTCCTGGGTTAACCGATTTATTCCTGTCCACCTGGGTTAGCGGGCTTGTCCCACTGCACCTGGGTTAGGGGACTTGCCCCCCTGCACCTAGCCTAACGCTTTCCTTTGTGGGAGGTGAGATTGCCTTCCCACCCCACTGAATTCCCAGGAAGCCGAGCTCAAAGCAGGAGCACTTTCAGCCTCTTGGTTTACGGTCCTCAGTGAAGCCCTGTTCATGTATTAGATTAACAGTCTCCAGCAGAGTTACAGATCGGGTTCCAGGCTTCTCTGAACCCGTCAGTGAGACCTGGACTAGCTTATCTGAGGTCTAGGTCATTGAGTAGATGACAGATAGTGCCGTTGGCGACATTTGTGCAGTGCGGGGACTCACTGGAGTTTTAGAAGCTGGTTGAGCTCTGCTTTTGTGTCCATCTGGGGTCCGGCACAGTGAAACCCATTAATCTCTTGGAAGGAATTTGTAGAGATGTGGGGCTTCCACTGAGGAGCCCAGATGGTCTCACCAGCCTGAGCAGAGCGGCAGGCACGCTTCCCTCTGCAGCTGGAAAATCGGCTTCATCGATCACCAGGTGCTGAGCATTGCTTTCCCCAGGAACTCTCTAGGAAGTCGTAGAGGAAGCAATTCTGGATGCCTTTAGTGGCTTTAGAAGCTTTCACAAGCTCGGCAGACACCTGCAGAGGGCCGGAAGTGTTTAGATCATTAACCGTTTTCCCTGAGACTTTTTTTTTATTGGTTTTGATTGTTTGGTTTGCTTTAAGAAAGGGTCTTTGACGTCCTGGCTGGCCTTGAAGTCACTATGTAGCTAAAGATGCCCCTGATCCTACTGCCTGTCCCTCCTAAGAGCCAGGATGGTAAACAAGCAGCAGCTTTCCCCATATATAGGG